CCTGGCGAATATGTTAGAAATAATCCAAGCAATCTACGATCTGGCTGCATTAAATATCCTTTAACAACAGAAATTCCTAAACGAAGAAACGCTCAAGACACAATTAATCATATGAAAGAAGCAACTCCAAAAAATCCTGTTTTTGGAGTAAAGAGTCCATCTCCACTAATCAATTTACTGCGCTATAATATAATTAACGGTTGTATAGTTGAGCCATTACATTGTTGTTCAGGAATTGCGAAACAATTCGCTACTGTTTGGTTCGGAACTACAAAAAAGGTCGGATTATTACCTAAAAGTATAATTAACGAAATTGATGAAAAAATGACTAAAATTAAAGCCCCCAACCAAATTAGTCGACTCACTAGAGCATTTTCAGAAAGAGCTTTCTGGAAAGCTCGTGAGTGGGAAAATTGGACCCTATTTTACAGTATGATCATTCTTAAAGAAATATTACCTACTGATTTGTTGTTGCACTGGGCTTTATTTGTAGAGGCCTTTTATATTTTAACAAAGCAGGACATTGGAATTAATGAAGTGGATTATGCTGAAAAATTACTTTATAAGTTTGTCGGTCGTACTCAGCTTTTATATTTAGAAATAGCAATGACATTTAATGTCCATTCGTTACTCCATTTGGCAAAAAGTGTTTTATTTTGGGGACCATTATGGTGTCATGACGCATACGGATTTGAATCGGGTAATGGAGATTTACTAAAAGTAATACACGCTTCTAATGGTATACATAGTCAAATATGTAGACGAATTAGTCTCAAATATAGCTTTAACATGTTGAGAGATCGAATTTACTCCGCTTCGTCATTCATAGTGAAAAATTATTGTGACTCTATAGGAACGAGAATAGCTAAAAAAATGTTATCAAACAACAAATATTCGATACTTTGGTCCGACATCATCAGTTAACTCGTCTTGGAAAGAAAAATTAAATCTACCTGATCGTTCAGTTTCATACAGAAAAATTGTTAAGAACGGTTGCTTATACATGTCTATGTTAAAAAGCAATAATCGTTCTAACAATTCATATGCTCAATTAAAAAATGGTACATATGTAAAATTGAACGCTTTTATAGTTGATTCGAGTTGTAAAATTGAGTATTCTATCGTTCAAGTAATTGTTACAGAAAATGCTTTCAACGTTTGTGAAATGATGAAAAAAATTATACAAATTTCAGACGAACAATCAGCTATTTTAACAGAAGATATTGAAAGAGTGTGTGTAAACATATCATTTGATAATGCTGATTTTCTATGCGGTGTTCCAAATTTATGGCACTATTAAAAAGGTTAAGAATAATTGTTTCTAGTAGTCAGATAATGCCATCAATTTAAACCTTTCAATATCTTATTTCAAACAATTGCGATATGTTAAAATATAAATCAACACTTTTTTCAATACTTCATTATGAAAACCTTTTTTGAATAAATATTTGTAATAAATTAATTTTGTATTACAATATAAGTTATTATAATAGAAAAATCTTTTAAACTCGAAAATTGTCGAACTAAACATACAATGAAAGTCACAATTACTGATTAATAGATTATCGATTTTATTTATAATGTAATTTGTCTCGATGTCAGTACTTACGTATGTGTTTGTATGAGTTTGTATTTTATTTTTAAGTAGATAATTTAAGTAAAATTCATGAAAACAACTCATGTTTATTAGTATTAAATACTACTAGGATGCTTTCAACATTTTGTTACGTTACGGATATAATAGTTAATTGTAGTATACGAAAGTGTGAAAAACAGAATAGTTTATAATTATAATACGTATATTATCAACAGTTTAAAAAGTCGTAATATTATATTCATTTTTTTAAATTTATCTTATTTTACAAGAACAGAATTTATGAAGTAATTGTGATATTTTAATATTTAGTTCACTTTACTATATTGTAAAATAATTATTAATTACTTTGTAAATTAATTTGACTTATTATAAATTGTAATTTACGTTTTTTGTTTTTCATTATCAAAACTATTGTTGAACTTCTATGTTTGTAATGACAGTTTAAGTAAAATACAGAATTTTAAAAAATATATTTTTGTTTTCTAAACAGCAATTATTTCTTAGAATAAGAATTATAAGTAATATATTTGTTAAATAAGTAGGTTTTTAATCTTGTTTCTTTTTTTATTTATATGCCTTTAAATACATAAAATTATAATTTCATTTTCTCAGTAACTAAATAACACTTTTCTTCTACATATTAAAAAAGTTGCTGTATTTTTCTAATTTTTTATTTTTATGTTATTGAATTTCAAAGCATCAAATGTCGAAAATGACAACTCTTGACCCTCAAAAGTGGCACCATCTGTAACAATATCTTTTCGACGGCTTTTTAGTTACTCTATGCAGAACATTAATTATATTAAATCCATTTTTCCTTCAAAATTACACGGAATTTGTTTATGATTATTTCATGAAGTCGAAAACGATATCGGAACCGATATAGTAAATTATGACGTATACGATATACTTCACTATTCCATTTTCCGATTCTGTTTCCGAAATAGTTTCCGATGTAGTTTACGTTATCGAGTTTAACGCTGTTTTCGACATTCAAAAATATTTAGTTTAATATGTAGGAAACGACATAGTATACTATGACGGAATTTTTAATAGGGAGGGTTTTTCTTCTATTTAATATTAAAATACTATTAATATATATTACAAGACTAATTGTGTTCATATAATATCAAAGATGTTTTTGTTGGGATTAAATTATTCTGGGATAAATTATTTATTACTATTATATTTATTAGTAGTAAAATTAACCCTTAAACGCCCAAATGTGCTGTTTTCAGACTTGAATTTTAACTACGTACAACTTTTAAAAGAAAGCTAAAAAAATTTCAAAAGTACCAATTCCTACTATTTTCGGGGTCGCTTTTGCGAATGGCGTTGTCAAAATTTCCAAAAAATGAAATTAACCCTCTCTTTTAAAGACATTTTCCAAAAAATGCAAGATTTTTAAATGAAATTTTTTTATTGCAATTTTTATTGTTATATCGGTATCTACATATCGTCTAAGGTATAAAAACCGTATTCCCGATAGCTGTACTTTAAAAATGTGCAGTATTTTTTTTTCTTTTTTTTCTTTTTTATTAAGGTGTTTAGTTCCAGGAGGCTAGTCAAAAGTAAAATTTTTTTTTCTTAAAGTCCAAAAAAGAAATAAATATCATGATATAAAATAAAAAATCACATTTTTAAATATTATTCTTTAAGTTACGATGTACAAATTTGTAAATAATAGAAAATTAAATAAAAAATAGTAATGTTTTGAAGAACGTAGTGTGTTGTAGTTAGAGACGTGGCAACACTGCAGTCACTGCATATACGTACAGCTGATGCTAATTTGTAAACTTGATTTTATTTTCGTAATGATTTGTGATTATAATCGATATTTTAATGCAACTACGTCAACTACGTGTAAATATTAGTAAGACAAAATGGAAAATCAATTGCGATTTAAAGGAAAATTTATAAAAGAGAAAGTTCTACAGCAAAAATTGAAAAGAATCAAATTTCTGAAAGAAAAACAAAACGAATGGCGAAACATAACCTCGAAAGAAAAGAAACACCCTTGCGAAGGAACTCGTCTGGTTGATTTGAAATTACTGGGAAAAAATTTGAAATGTCGTAGTTGCGAAAAAATTTTGTCATTAGAAAATGTTGTAGAAGAAAAGAGATCTGGATTGCACTCTACTTTACGCGTTATGTGTGACTTTTGTTCCGTACTATCAGAAGTTGCAACTGGCGATCAACACAATGTTACGGATCAATCAAAATGCTTTGTGAAAGCTAAAATTCATAATGATGTAAATACGAATGCTGTATTAGGTAAGTACAATTATTAAAATTAATAATAAATAACAATTTATTAATATTAAAAATACACAAATGATAAATAATATAATATCTACCATTCATGTAATTTAACTAATTTAAAATGTAAATATCTAATTTATGCTTCAATAAATGGAATAGTTTGACTGATTATTTTCTATACATGCCATACATATTTAAATATACAAAAATACAAATCATTTCAGGTGCTTTTCATGCTGGTATAGGACACACGCAATTGAACAAAATTTTGGCTTGTTTGAATGTTCCGAGAATATCAACAAAAATGTATAAGCAATACGAGCAAGAAGTCGGTCCAGCAATCGAGGGAGTAGCGCAAGATTCTTGTAAGAAATCTGCCAGCGAAGAAAGAAAATTAGTTGTAGAAAAAATGGAAGAACTACGTGACGCATTGTAAGATTTCACTTTTGGTTTATTTTAAAGGTTTTCTAAAGGCTCATTTTAAAAAAGTACGACTCGATAAATTTCAGTATTTACTTAATTAATTTAAAAAATAATTTATTTAAAAATATTATTATATAATTAATAAAAATTAATTAATTAATAAATTAATTAAATAAATAAAAAAAAATTAATTAAATTAAATTAAAAATTAATAAAAATTAAATAAAAATAAATAAATAATATATATATATATATATATATATTAATAATTAATTAAATTAAATTTTTATTTATTAATTAATTATTATTATTATATTTATTTATTTGATTTTTTTTAATAATTCGTAAAGTTTTCTGACAATTTTCTTTTTGAAAAAATTATATTTTTTATTTTTATTTTAGAGTGATAGGTTTTATAATTTTATTTTGTATTTAAAAATTTTTTAAATTAATTTTATAATCATTTTATAATTTAAAATTCTGCTCGACAAATATGTTATACACATTCTGCACAACCATTCTACAGTTGTACATACATTATGATTCATTGGTCTATGTATTGTATGATCTATAAAATTTTTATTAAGAAATAAAGAAATATTTCAATATTAAATATCTTAATTTTATTTCCCTGACAATTAATATTAGATAGTAATATTTCAATTTATTTTTAAATAATTATAGGCCAGAAGATATCCGAAACGAATTTGTCGATGAAATGTTTGTCCTTCAAGAGGTTGTAGAAAATGTCGATAACAATAATAACGATACAAGAAGATTTAACAAGTGTTTGGGAAATATAATTAATATTATTGTCTCTTTCGACATGGGTTGGAGCAAGAGAGGAAATGGAAGAAGCTACGACAGTCTGAACGGATATGGTGCGATTATTGGATTTTTTACGGGCAAAATCTTGGATTATCGAACTCGAAATAGAAAATGTCGTATGTGTGATCTGGGCCATTCCGTAAACGATCACGACTGCAGAAAAAATTACCATGGCAGTGCGAAAGCCATGGAAGCGGACGTTAGAGAAGAACTAATAAATCGAAGCAATATTCTAAAACAACAAAATTTAAATGTCAAGGTTGTAATCGGAGATGAAGACAGTACAACGATGGCAGCTGTAAGGAATGCAAATTTAAAAAACAATGTGACTAAAAATATTTATAAACTGGCTGACATGAATCATGTGAAGAAAAACTTATCGAAGAAAATTTATAAAATCAAACAGAAATTTAAACAATTGAATAAGAAAGGATTAATTTCTCACATCAAAAAATGCTTTGCTTACGCTTTATCTCAGTGTAAGCAAAATGCAGTAAAATTGGCATCTGCTGTTCGATGTATACCGAATCATTTGTTCAATCTTCATGGAAACTGCGACACATGGTGCAGAAGTAAAAATAAAATAAATCCCGGACTGACGACACAAAAATTCATTATCACAGACGAAAGTTTACATGCTGAACTGCAAACCATATTTAATATTTATGCTGATAATGCTTCAAAATACTGTGTTCCTGCATCTAGTCAAGCAAACGAATCTTTGAATAGCATTATATCCCATCAGCTTCCAAAGAATAAAAGTTACAGTACGACAAATTCCGCCGATTTTCGCGTTGCATCAGCTATTGCAGTGAAGAATGAAGGGAACTCTTATTCAACTGATGTTAGAACCAGACTTGGACTTCCTGAAGCCGAACACCTCGAGAAATACTGCAAAGAAGTAGATGTTACTAGAGCAAAAAAATGTCTGAAATCTAAAACTTACGAATTTAAAAAACGAAGATTGCAACTCACTGAAAATAGAGAAAATCTAAGAAAAAAATTGGAAAGTCAAGAAAGCATTACTTATGAGGGAAACATTGCATTCGAAAATAATTCTCAACTCATTTGTCTCAGTCCTCTTAGCGAAAATTCTGCTTTAGCAATTGAAAATTGTTCAATTATATTCTTCAATTTGGAAACATCTGGACGGAAGAAGACGTCCGATATTCTACAAATTGCTGCAAAAGTAGGTGAAAAAACATTCTCTATATTTATTCAACCTACTCAACCAGTTGATGAAGAGGCATCAAAGATTAATGGGTTTCAAAATATTGATAATGTTTTATATTTAAAAGGAAACAAATGCGTTACAATTACTATGATCGATGCGCTGCTTTCTTTTTACGAATTTCTGTCAAGAAATTCAAAAGGGTGTGTACTGGCAGCTCACAATGCTTGTTTTGATGTTTCCTTTTTAATTCGAGAAATCCATAAATATTCATTGGCTCAGGAATTTCAAAAAATTATTTATGGTTTTTGTGATACCTTAAGTTTATTTCGGAAAAAAATTCCTGATCGCAAAGGGAAAGGAATGTTTACCTTGTCCAAATTAGCGCAAGATTTTTTGACGAGTGAAGTTTCGCCTGAGAATTTTCATGAGGCATTGTATGATGTAATTGTCTTAGAACAATTAGTCGTGTCTCTTGCAAAGGAAAACGACTTATTCCTACATTCGACAGATTATGTTTCTTCAATAAATAAGTCGATTTTAGATAAGCAAGTAGCCTTGAGAACGAAATCATTCCATCCACTAAAAGGAAAAGTTACAGATTATCTTATAAAAAAACTCGCTTCCTCAGGACTAACATTCGAAAATTTATTAGAAAAATACAAAGACAGCGGAGAAGAAGGAATTACTTTGTTACTTACTGATCGACAGAATAATAAGAAACCACTTGTAGGGAACAAGAAAACTACATTGATAAAGTTAATAGATTGTATCAAGAGTGCATATAGCCAAAAAGATTTAAAAAAAGATATTTTTAAGCGATGTTTTATATTTAAAAAATTTTATTTGATTGAAATGAAAATATCTGTTTCAAAATTAAAGTTTCTTCTATTTTGTTATTTCGAGAGTTAATTTATTATCTTAAGAGGCATAGTACCAAAGCAATTAAATATTATTATTAAGAGATATTTTATGTTTAAAAACTTGCTGTGCAGTGTTTATGCTTTACAAACAAAAAGTCAAAAAGTATTATTAATATCTCTTATCAATAGTTTTATGTAGAACTTTAAAATAAAGTATAAAATAATAAACATTAATTTACATTTAAAATTATATGTTAACAATATGTTAAAAACAATTTTTAAAATTTATGTTGTAATATAAAGTTTTGTACTTTTTTATCGAAACGTTAAATAAAAAAGTGACTATCCCAAAAATAATATATTTTTTATTGTAAACTATAGTGCACTCAGTTTTTAAAATTTATACTGTTTAAATAAATATTTTTTTCTGCATTTATATATATTATTAATACTTATTTCATATTTAAATACAAAATTTCAAAATTAGTTATAAGGGCATCCGGGAAAAAATAATGGTTTCGTGATAGACGTCTCATTTAAAAAGAAAATAATATTTTGAGTCGGGATTTTTTGGTAAATATAGAGGAAGACTCTCCGAGAAGCGGCCATCTCCGTTTTTGTAATAATTTTGCGAGGAAATTATTTTATTAACGATTGAAAGTGGAGTAATTTGAGATTAATACATTTCCTTAGTTCAACTCGCGACCACTTCCGAGAATTGGCGCCACCTCCTTGACCACTGACACATAGATCCACTTGTCTGTGTGCTCGCCGTCATATTGTTTCTCACTTTCGCCAAAATTACCAAAAATACAACTTTTGTAATTTCGTTTTCAATATTTATTTCAAAAATTACTTGCAATTTTCGAGAATATTCTTTTTCATCACGAATTCCCCTAATTATCATGATAAATCGGAACTAAATATCTCTAATTATATTTAGGAGTGAGACGACACGCGGGAAAACACTTTTGGAGGGCGATTTTTCCCGGATGCCCTTAAATAATTAAAAATAATATTTATTTAATAATAACAGTAATAATAATAATAATAATTTAATTTGAAATTAAAATTTAATTTTTCTAGGTAATATCAATTTAGTATTTAATTTATACGTAGTTTACTTCCCATTAAAAGAAAAGTTGATGAATTGTTTCAAAAAAGTAAATAAGTAAATAAATATTACGAAAATTTATTCATTATTTTTTTTGGACAAAGATGAATAAAGCAAATTTTCTAAATACTTGAACTGGTTTGAATTTTCGGGCTACTCTATTTCCTCCGCGGCAGTTGCGACGTTGCCACATTCTCTATGTCAAACGAAATGACAAAAAAATTTTATTTAACTATAATTTTTGGAATAAAAATACTCTGTAACTAAACGATAAATTGTACAGTGTTTTAAATATTCTGATCTTTGAATATTAAATTAGTTTTGTTTTAGTTTTGAGATGAATCCTTATTGTGCATCAAAAGTTATAAAGTTATATATATCAAATAGTCAGTTTTTCGTTCGCGGCGTCCATTAGCTCAATGCAAACATTGAGAAAAATACTCAACTTTGGACGACAATATTTCGAGAACCGTACGATAAAAAAATCTCAGATTCAAAAATAATGTCCATTAATATGTTAATTAATTTTGCTGAAGTTTTCAAGTAATTTTCTATTATCATTGATTTTGAACTAACCACCTTAAAAAATGTCGCCCGAACGCTAAATTTTTTTTTGTTACACATACAAATTTTTGTTTCTAAATTTGCTTCAATTCCATTGAAATTAGTTACTCTGGGGTTTATGGGATCGCTAATTACGAATCTGATGTTAGTTTTAAAAAATTCAAAATGTCGGATTCAATATGGGTACGATTTTTTTTTAAAATTCACCAAATTCGCCTAAAACTTGTTACTCGGGGGTTTTCAGGGTCGCTGATTACGAATATGATGTTAGTTTTTAAAAATCCAAAATGGCGGATCCAAAATGTCGACCAAAAAAAAAATATTCAGTTTGGCTTAAAAATTGGTACTCGAGGGTTTTTGGGGTCGCTGATTACGAATATGATGTTAGTTTTTAAAAATCCAAAATTTCGGATCCAATATGTCGGACAAAAAAAATTAAAATCATCCGGATTGGCTTGAAAATTGTTATTTGGGTCAATTTTGGAAATTACTTATACTCAATTAATAATAATGTCAAACTGGAAACATTAGTTTCATAAAACTTAGTTTAATTACTTATTGAACTTTAAAGTGGGGACCTTTTTTCATCATGAAACTTTGTTTAGGGTTGTCTTCTGTCACGTTTCGAGCTAAGGCAATGGTAATTTTATTTAGCGTATAATAAAAGGGAGGTAAAGTGCTGATTTGATTTTACACATTGAGGGTTAAATTATAAACAGTTTTATCTCGGGATGTAACATCTACCAAAACTTATTCTAAGTCCTGGTCACGTTCAGTCATTTAAATATCTGTTGCATATTAGATCCGAAATTTTGGATTTTAAAAAATTAACATCATATTCGTAATCAGCGACGCCAAAAACCCCCGAGTACCAATTTTTAAGCCAATCAGAATGATTTTTATATTTCAGTCGCCATTTTGGATCCGACATTTTCGATTTTTAAAAACTTACATCATATTCTTAATCAGCGACCCCAAAAACCCCCGAGTACCAATTTTTAAGCTAATCTGAATGATTTTTATTTTTTTGGTCGCCATTTTGTATCCGCCATTCTGGATTTTAAAATCTAACATCATATTTGTAATCAGTGACCCTGAAAACCCCCGAGTAACAAGTTTCAGGCGAATTTGGTAAATTTTTAAAAAAATCGTCCGCCATATTGAATCCGACATTTTGAATTTTTCAAAACTAACATCAGATTCGTAATTAGCGACCCTATAGACCCCCGAGTAACAAACTTCAAGTAAATTTAAGCAAATTTAGAAAAAAAATTTGTGTGTGTAATAAAAACAAAATTTAGCGTTCGGGCGCCATTTCTTAATAAAAAATGAAAAAAAGAAAAAAAACTACTGCACATTTTTAAAGTACAGCTATCGGGAATACGTTTTTTATACCTTAGACGATATGTAGATACCGATTTAACAATAAAAATTGCAATAAAAAAAAATTTCATCCAATAATCTTGCTTTTTTTGAAAATTTCATTAAAAGAGGAGGTTAATTTTATTTTTTGGAAATTTTGACAACGCCATTTGAAAGAGCGACCCCAAAAATAGTAGGAAATTGTACTTTTGAAATTTTTTTAGCTTTCTTTTAATAGTTGTACGAAGTTAATGTTCAAGTCGGAAAACAGCACATTTGGGCGTTAAAGGGTTAATATAATGTCGGAAATAAGAAATCCAGTTTATTTTAAAAAAATTAATGTTTTTGTTTCAAAAAAAAAATATTTACCATTAAAATTTAATTCTAAAAGTTACAGATGCAGAAACTATAATCCAATTATTATAACACCTGTTTATTAACTGTCAGAGTTTAATTTTATACCTAAATATTCTTTAAAAAAAAATCGGGCAAGTGCGAGTTGCACTCGCATTAAGATCGAGGGTTCCGTACACCAAAATAAAACTCATTTTTTATAAAAAAAAATATATATGAGGCATTCTTTCTCAAGTGGGCCACCCCTTCTCTCCATTTCAAATTTAATCCAAAAATCTTTTATAATAGCTCAAATTAAAGGTAAAAATGTCAGCTTTTCAATGCCGTTGGGCCCTTTTTGAAATATTAATCTCCAAATAAACTATATATAATTTAATGACAAAAAACACTATGAACAATTCTTTTTCATATTAAAAAAAGAAGAAAAACCCAATTTTAAAAATGCTACAGGGCCTACAACATTAAATTATATGATAAATTAACAAAATTTCATATTATTTCCTAAAATTAAAGATGGCGAATCCAATATGGCGCCCAAAATTTAAAAAATGTATAATTTTTGTTCAAACTCACCATAAAAAGGTTATTGGGATCGCTGATGACGAATTTGGTGTTAGTTTTTCAAAATTCAAAATGGCGAATCAAAAATGGCGGACTTAGAAATTAAAAATTAATCGGATTTGTCTCAAATTTGTTATTTGGGGTTTTTTGGGATCGCTGATGACGAATTTGGTGTTAGTTTTTCAAAATTCAAGATGGCGAATCCAAAATGGCGGACTTAAAAATTAAAAATTAATCAGATTTGCCTAAAATTTGTTATTTGGGGGTTTTTGAGATCGCTGATTACGAATTTGATGTCAGATTCTCAAAATTCAAAATGGTAGATCCAAAATGGCGGACTTAAAAATCTAAAAAGCAATCGGTTTTGCCTAAAATTTGTTTTTCGGGAGTTTTTGAGATCGCTGATTACGAATTTGATGTCTATGGTTAGGAATTTGATGGCAGCTTTTCAGAATTCAATATAATGGATCTAATATAGTTAACGTAATATGAAACATTAATCAGATTTGCTAAAAATTCATTACTGTGATATTTTTGGGATTGCCGATTCTATATTGAGTATTAGAAATTCGATATTTTGAATGCAATAACGCTGAAATATTAATTGCCAGCTATGTGATTGCTGCTGATTTTTATGTTTTGTATAGAAATTATTATGAATAAAGCGATACTCAAATAACCCTAAAGAACTTAGATTTTTAAATAAATAAATAACGATAATTTGTCCAATTTGTATTTAATTCTCAAAAGCTGACATAAAATTCATAATCATAGACATCAAATTCGTTATCAGCGATCTCAAAAACACCCGAAAAACAGGTTTTAGGCAAAGCGGATTGATTTTTAATTTTTTAGGTCCGCCATTTTGAATTTTGAAACACAAACACCAAATTCGTCAACAGCGATCCCAAAAACCCCCAAATAACAAATTTTAGGCAAATCCGATTAATTTTAAAGTCCGCCATTTTGAATTCGCCATTTTGAATTTTGAAATATAAACACCAAATTCGTCATCAGCGATCCCAAAAACCCTCAAATAACAAATTTTAGTCAAATTCGATTGATTTTTAATTTCTAAGTCCGACATTTTGGATTCGCCATTTTGAATTTTAAGAAACTAACACCAAATTCGTCATCAGCGATCCCAAAAACCCCTTTATGGTGAGTTTGAACAAAAATTATAAATTTTTCTAATTTTGGGCGCCATATTAGATTTGCCATCTTTAATTTTAGGAAATAATATGAAATTTTGTTAATTTATCATATAATTTAATGTTGTAGGCCCTGTAGCATTTTTAAAATTGGGTTTTTCTTCTTTTTTTAATATAAAAAAGAATTGGTCATAGTGTTTTTTGTCATTAAATTATATATAGTTCATTAGGAAATTAATATTTCAAAAAGGGCCCAACGGCATTGAAAAGCTGACTTATTTACCTTTAATTTGAGCTATTATAAAAGATTTTTGGATTAAATTTGAAATGGAGAGAAGGGGTGGCCCACTTGAGAAAGAATGCCTCATATAAGAAACATAATTGATTAATATTAACATATATAAACCTATTGAGCTGAAATTCGGTACACATATGTATTTTTATTAAATATAGATTAAAAAAAAACTATAACTATAATCCACATTAATATTAACATATATAAACATATTGAGCTGCAATTCGGTACACATATGTGACTGTCCGCGACAAAAGGGACAGGGTCATTTTTTGCAATTTTTTCAAAAAAATTCAATTTCTTTCCCTTCTAGTTCCCAAATATCTCCACCAATCAGGTTCGCTATATT